ATTTAGGCTATTCTAGGAAACAATATTAGTCAGAGTTTAACTAAGAAGCTTTAGTGCCAAAAGCCCAACTCACTAGCCTAACAACAGTGTTGAGTAAATCTGATATGCTATTAGTTATGGTTTGAGAATTCTAAATTTCTTATGTTAGCAGTTTCTATACTTTTTTCCCCCATCATTTTACCATGTGTATACTGATTGCCCATGGCCCCTTGGCATGGTGCTCAGTGCTAGGGAAGGCAGTACTTATTATTAGGACTGATGAAGACTCTGGAGTTTGTATTCTCCTAAGGGGAGATGCACGAGCAACAAGTAAATAATTAAATAGGGCAAGAAAGTATAGTAGAGAGTGTATTAAGTTCTATAAGCAAAACACACAGGGTGCTATGACACAGGAAATCTATAGTGCTGGTTTTTATGGGGCTTGGGAGAGGTTTCTGTTTTTAGGTGAAATTTGATCTGAAACCTGGACACGCAGAAAAGCTGACAACAGGCAATCTAGGCCAAGAGCAAATGCAAAGGCCCTGAGGTGGCAGCACTGCAGTATGTTAGCAGAATAAGAGCAAAAGGTAGTGGGGCTGAGAGTTGGCACACTGAGAACAGTCTAGATGAGGCCATGACAAATAAAGGCAAGAGCCAAGTGTGGCTCACAGACATAGCTAGAAGTCTAGCTTGTACTTAAAGAGCACCCTGGTGTAGCTCAGTGGATTGATCGCAGGCCTGCAAACCAAAGAAAGGGTCACCGATTTGATTCCCAGTCAGGGCATATGCCTAGGTTGCAAGTCAGGTCCCCAGGAGGGGACATGCGAGAGGCAACTACACATTGATATTTCTCTCCCTTTCTTTCTCCTTCCCTTCCTCTCTCTCTAAAAATAAATAAATAAAATCTTAAAAGAAAGAGCAATGGTACCTGCTTTTAAAATAAACTGTTGGATTTGTATTTAACAATGATGATTTGAGTGTGTGTGTGTGTGTGTGTGTGTGTGTGTGTGTGTGTGTGTGACTGTGGGCTGTAGGGTAAGTACCAAAAGGGGAAGCAGAGAGCTAAGACAAGAGACTGCTGACCTGCAATGATCCAGGCAAGAAATGCTCACGGCCCAAACCATAAGTCAGTCATGGAGATGGAGGAGAGGGGGCAAATGCTAAATGTACTGGGGGGTAAATGTGATGACTGCTAAGAGAAAAGGGGGAGGGGAGGAAGAGAGGCATCTGGGTTGCTGACGTTAGGAGCCATTTAACAGAGTGGGTTCCTGTTCTATTTTGAATGTTAGGCTAGAGGTGGCCCATGGGACAGCTGCGTGACAAGGTCAAGTAGACAGAGTGAGGTGCTCGGAGCCCAGGGGAGAGGTCTTAGCTAGAAATACAAATTTGGGCATCAATATTCTACACAGTTCCCGGCAGACCACCCAGATACACACATGGTAATTAATAAATGCTTACGGAAGGATTGATTGATCATTGACAAAAGGGCGAGTGAGAATTTTGCATACTGGAAGATGTTTTGAAGCTCTTGGCAAGGAGCACTCAGGAAATGCCAGTGGAGTGCCAGGTGCCGTGGCTGCTCAATTAATTTACAGTGATGAATCTCAAGAAAGCAATGAACTGTTATTTCAGGACCTGACCCTACCTGGATGAACCTGCACCAGAACCATTGTTCAGCTGCATGTACCTTCTGTTCCCCATCCTGGGAACCTTTTCCCCTGGTGGTTTAACTCCCCACCCAGGCACCTTGCTTTGTCCTTGATCACTACCCTTTTGTGCGCTCACATTCAGAAAAATGCTGTTGTTGCTCTGACTGGGTTTCTAATGACTGTCTCAAGAACCTGTTCACAGGGTTCCGAGCCCTCCGTGGACCATGAACACTGAGCGCCTGTTAGGGGCCAGGCATGTCAGGTGCGGGCACCATTCTCCACACTTGATACATGCATCTCATTTCTAGCACCCTGCCAAGTAGCTGCCTGCCCTCGAGGAGGGCCTTAATTCCTCCAACACAGTAAGTCCTTGGCTCTGAGTCAGGGACCTAGAAAGAGCTAGAGCAAGGACTCAGAACCAGTCTTGATGACATCCTGCTGACTCCCTGCAGCCGGCTCCCTGCCTAGGTGTGTGGAGCTCATTGGATTTTGCCTGTGGGATCAGTCTATACCCTTGATGCACCCAGTTCCCCAGCAAAGACCAGTACATGGTTGGCAGCTGTTGACCACCACCCAGCATTCAAGTCAGGTTGGCCGTTGTCTGTACCCTGAAATGACGGTTTTCCACATCTCCGTGACCACAGACTCACTTGGGGCCCTGGTGTGGGGATTTATTATGCCCAGTGGGAGGGTCCCAACCAGAGAGAGGCCCACAGCTGGGAGGTTATCAGTCATCAGAGAAACAAAAGAGATTGGGTGTATCAGAGTAACCTAGCTAGGCAGGCTTGCCAGGGGCAGGGGTGGCTCCGAGGACTAAGACTGTGTGTAAAGGAAAATGTGGATTCTTAATAGGCAGCTAAGGGGTGAGAAGGCAGAGATGTAGAAAATCCTAGCTCATTGATTAAAAGAAATAGCCTTTATGTAAATGTGTTACTAAAGCTTCCATCTCTCTAGCCACACACTCAAACTGAAAGGCTTTCTGTCTTCATTAGGCACGTCCCCTGAGCAGGCGTGTGTGTGATGAGGCAGAGACGTTTGCTCAGACATGGTCTGCAGCAGGATCAATGGTTTCCCCCACATCCAAGAGGAGGTCGTGCCTTTACCTGAGGAGGCCATGTCCTGAGAGGCCGGGCAACGTGGGCAGGAATTATCTGCAGTTAATGGCACACAAAAGGACAAAGGAAACTGAAGCCACTCCTGCTGGCACTCATCTAGGCAGCACCTGCTTGTCCAGAACACTCGACCCTTTGTCGCTTGACACCTGCCTGGCTGGATGGGCCCCACGCTGCCCGCTAAGGAAACGGAGATGATGAATATCCATTCAGGCTTGATGTGGCGGAAACAGGATGTGGAATTTCTAGACATGAGCTACCTATGAATCTGGCAACGACCAGGCATAGCTTGTTACTGAGTCACATGGATAAAGGTCAAAAGGCAAGAAGCTTGGTGTAACAGACAGACAAGCAGATAAAAAAGCTGCACACACACACCAGGCCCTTCCATCAGAGTCCGTGGCAGTGGCTGCACATGTAGCACTGCTTTGCTTCCCACGCAAGTGTGTGTCATTAAAGAGAGATGAGGCAGACCTTCAGCTGGCTGGCTGAAGTTTCCACTGAACCCTAGGAAGAGCTTCCAAGAAGCTAATGTGAATCCACCCATTTCCACTGTCACATTATACCAGCTTATAGAACTCCTGACACAGTTTCAAGGATTCAGAGAGACAAAGATGCCTCTCTCTCTCCTTTTTCCTCTCTCTCTCTCTCTTTCACACACACACACACACACACACACACACACAGAAGGAAACTCTTAAATATATGTTTATTACATACATCATGATTTTGTTCTTTTAATATGACACTCAAAATACCAATAGCCAGATTCTCTGCTGCATGCTCAGCACCTAGATCAAAGTCAGAACACAGTAGGCTGCCCGTATGTATTTGTTGAATAAATGAACACACGAATATTTACTATACCCTTGGGTTTCTGGTACCTAACCTTGCCTGGCGACTTTTTATTTATATTCCCAGGAAGGGACCTTAGCTGCACTATAAATTTACAAACACTTTTTCCATGGAGACATTTAAACTCTTCTAGTTCCGTACACATGGCCATGCTATTTCTGATGGAGAAACACTAAATGTAAGGCAGGACTGAAGGAATTGTTAACAACTTGCTTCTTAATTCTCACCCAAAACACCCTATTTAAAGCATCTCACTGAGATTTCTGTATTTATCCTCTTCTTTTCTTATAGAATGTCAAGGAGACACCAGTCAGCAGGGTTAGTGACAAGATAAGATCAGATGACAAATAAAAAGGTAACTTCATCCTGGAGATTTGCTTAAGGATCAGGCATTCTTTCCTCTCCAGCTACCGTCCTGGGATGAGAATGTTTACTCTGCATTAAAATTCAGATTACTTGATGAGTTTTAATGCCCTTCAACAGAAGTAAAATTTTATGTGGACCCATTTATTAACTAGTGAGAGTTGTTGGCTCTGGGTGTGGGCACCTAAGTCTGAGGCAGGTTCAATACCAGATCTGGTCAGTTTGCCCCAAAGCACTGATGTTCAAGAATGAACCTTGTGAGGGTTGGAATTGGAGCCCCCAACCCCCACCCCGCATAAGGCATGTGACCCTTTTGAAGGTATCTGCTACTCTAAATTTCATCAAAGTCATAATAACAAAAATAAGCAAAGTCCCTTGGACCATTGTTGGAAGGATATTCGTTTGGCTATTAAAGAAACAGGTCCATGTAAAAGTAGAAAATCAAGCCTGAGTGTTGCCTTTCAAACCCTGTGGGCATCCTAGATGACAAGCGACTGACTGGGGAAGGAGCTCGAGGGACAGTTCTGGGGGCTGGTCAGCTGTTCTACGAGTCGACATATTGCTGGAGCTTATCTCCAAGAATAAAATACAGTCACTCTTCTTGTTGGGATTTTCTTTTTTAAATGTCAAGTCAGTATAACAAACTGTAAAGGTTTGCCACATGTGGGTGTTGAGAGTACCCAGAGATTTATTATTCTCTGTCTTTTCTCTGTTGGAAGCATTCCATAGGAAAAAAAAAAAGATAAAAGAATCAAAATAGCAGGAACAAGGAAAACAACCAACATACATGTTTTTTGGGAGGCTTCTAATGGATGCGTACTCTCTCCCTGCAATGTTAAAAACGTGAGACGTTTGATTCCAAGTTAGTATTTTTAAAATAACACCTGTCTTCAAAATATAGATTAAGATGTTAAATTTGGTGACACTGTAACAAACGTTAATAGAAATCCACTCCCAGGAAACCCGACAGCCCTCCAATACCAGCCTGGCGCTGACATTCATCATATTTAACAAGGTGTATTGGAAATAGCTGAGTACTGACCTCCCCAGAACAAACGATCCTCTTGGGACGTGGGGCCTCTTGCTGTAACTGATACACTGCCAGAAACAACAACAGAAAAAGTTAATTATAATTAGAGAATGGCAACACATGCCAAATGCCTTCAAATAGTTTCATCTACGTACATCTCCAAAATGGCAAATATTTCAAACCAACACACAAACAAACAAAACAAAGAGGAGACAAGCCCATTTTTAGACTGAATCAAGTCAGATCATTTATATGGAAATGCGTCGCTGTGGATGTAAACTGGCAAAATTGATTTTTTTTATTCTTATAAGGCCAATTTAGTTTCCTAATTGTTCCTGGCATTGTTCATTTTATGGCTTTCCTGGAAGACTAGAGAACGGCTAAAATTCTCCTGTTTTAAAAATGAAATTGTACTCTTGAGTATCTAAGTGGAAAAGATCATATAAGAGGCTTCCTGAATTAAATGCTGATAGCGCCTGACATAGCGGGGAGACGGGGGCGTGGGAAAGGAGTGCCGTTCCCTGAAATGCTCCCGTCGTGGACCAAGCCACAGCTGACTCTGTGGGTGAATGGAACCTCAAGTCATTGCTTTGTTCACGAGTTTCCTTTCTGTCCTGCCCATCACCGTGGATTCTCGTCTGTTTGACTATTTCCCACCCATTGTCATTCCTTTCTCTTGTATCCTTTCATATCTTAAATAATAACTCTCTTATATCCTGCTTCAAAGACCGACTTTCAGGCTTCAGCACGGAGGAAAGCAGGTAATTAAATAGAGGGGAGAGAGAAGGGAATTTAAGGGGAAAAAGGGGGAGGGATTTTGAGGAACAAGTATGAAAGACACAGGGATGAGGACTGGGGGGGGGAATGGGAGAGAGGGGGGAGACAGGGCGGGGGGGGCTGGGATGGGAGAAATAGACAAAAATGTACTTGAAAAATAACTAAATAAAAATTTAAAAAAAGAAAAATACAATTTATCAGGCTCGTCTTTGAAAATTTTTTCAGACAATAACAAATGATTTTCTGCTGCTCAGCCAGTCTGCTTATTTCTCGTAGAGGAAAACCAGCCTGCGCAGGTACCTAATGGGCTCTAATTCCATGGAAACAGAAGTCAAAAACAAACACAAGGGATGTTATCTTCAGAATCTTGAGAGGGAAGAATTAATTTTAGGTGGTATGAATCTTTGAAAAGTCAAAAACGCGATCATAGAAAGTCTAGAAAATGCAACAACAGAAGCAGAAATTTCTGGTATATCCTGAAGTCTCAAAAGAAAGAAGAAAATGTAACTGAAGGGCAGAGGACTGTGTGGAAGCAGGGATGGAAGCGATTGGATGTGCTCCGTCAGGACGGCTCCCCAGTGCCTGCAGCGTGGCGTGGTCATTTTCTTGCCTGACTAAGGGTGGACTACTCGACTTCAGCACAGAAAGGAATCTATGTAACCCTCTGGTCAGTGTTTAAAGTGCCACATGTCTGAACTTCAGTTGTCCCTTGCTAATGACGATGCTTAAGTACCCATGTATGGAGAGGCAGTGAGAGAAGGCCTCTTGTTAAAGAGGAAACAAGAGGACAAACTGGCCAAAGATACAGAGCTGTGGCCATGTCACAGACTAGCTCAGCAGGGGTTCAGCTCTCCTTAAGTCAAGAGAGGGTCTCCTCTACTGCTCTGGAATCAGCCCACTGACTGACTGCCTTTTAGCAGGATGTTGTTGTTAATGAGTGTAAAGGGGCCAGTTCCTAGAAGCACAGAATTTCAGAGGTCGGGGGAATTGCAGAACTCTATCCAGACAATCCTGTCCCCCCTTCTCTGCCCACTGTCAGTGCCTCTTGAAACCAACAGTTCTGGGTGGGAAGTACAGTGCCAATGGCTCTGTGGACACCATTTTTAATGTCTCCCTTCAAGGGGACAAAGGAAGTATGTATGTTACAAGAGAAGTGTTTTTAGCTAAGCATGCTTTTGCAAATCATATCAGAAAATATCTGAACATCTGCTATAGGCCAGGAACGATCGTCAGCATTATGTGGAGGTTTTGTGGATGAATGGAGAGGAAAGGAAGAGAGATGGAAACCAGCATACTGAGTGCCTATTACGTGCCAGAAACTGTCTGATTGAAACTTCCTGAGAACTCAGAGAAAAGAACAGCAATTACCATTGCCGTTCTCATTTTTTAGGGAGGAAACAAGTGCAGAGAAACTACCTATTGGTCCCATGGCATCCAGCTAAAATGTCTCCTTTTGATTCTAAAGCCCTGGTTTATTTCCTTATGCCTCAGGGCCTTTGCACTTGCCATTCACACCACCTGGGTTGGTCTTTCCCAAGATATGCATGTGGATCTCATTCTCCATGCCAGTCTTCCCTGGCTTTCCTGCTTTGGGATAAAATTCCATCCCATCCTCTGCTCCCTTACACTGTTTTATGTTTCTCCTTGGTACTCATCACCATGAACACTCTTTATTTTGCATAACCTGTCCCTTGACCATAGTGTAATCCCTTGAGGGCAGGGGCTTTGTGCACTGTGGTACCCCCAGCACCTGGAACAGCACTTGGCACATGGAACATACTTAATGCATATTTGGTGAACAAATGAACTGCATCCAATGACTAATGGGTCACAATCCATGCCTTCAGGGAAACTCTGATCCAGTGAGGAAGGCACATCTGGAAAAACAAAACCAGAGTGGTCCAGGTACTTCAATGGGGGAGAAGCATGGAGCTCTCCTTGAAGGACCAGAGGTACAGAACAGAGAAAAGGTTATGGGTAGAGGGAAGAGCAAAGACTTGCTGATTGGTCAGTGGTAGCCCAGGGTGTCTACTGCACCAGGGTGGGCAGGTGAGGGAGGAGGCCATGTGCCATGCAACCCTGAAGGCCACACAAAGGAACATGAATGTTCTGTGTGCAATGGGGAGGTAGTGACATGTGTGGAGCGGGGAGGTGACATGACCAGGTCTGTTTCTGAGTAATAATAATAAGAATAAGACTATGCAGAATAATAGAAGCTGACATTTTCTGGACACCTACTGTGTGTCAGACACCTTCATGTACACATTGTCATTTAATCTTCCCAACCAACTCCCAGGATAACTGTTATCCCCTCTCACTGATAAAGCAGGAAAGATGCCACACTTTGAACAAGCTCAAGTTCACACAGGTGATGTGATGAAATCAAAATTTAAAGGCCACTTTCCAGATTCCATGGTCTGTATTTTTTTAGCCTCGCCAGCTGTTATAAAAATACAGATTCCCAGGATTCATCATCCATGATGATACTCACTCTGCCAATCTGAATGTCCAGAATGTCCTTTTTAAAGCTACGTGAGACATTTCAATGCACAGGGAGAGTGGGGGCCACTGCTCTGTGCCTCACAGAAGGAAGGGTCAGACAGAGCAGGGAGGCAGGGAAGTGGGAGAGGGCAGTATTTTAGGTGGACAGAAAAGAAATGGGGAAAGTGTGAGTGAAGCTAACCCCGGCAGAAATGCAGATGGGATGGTGAGTTGGCTGCAGAGGAGGACAGACAGGGCTTGGCCACAAACTGAATGACTGAGGGATGGAGATGCCGTTAACAATCACACAGGACACAAGTGAAGGAATGGTCTGGACTGTTCCTCTGCTGTGTCACCAGGCAAAGCCCAGAGCCGTGTCCTCCAGGGACCCTCTGAGATTTAATAAAGAGAAATGCTGCAGCTCTCCAGTCTCACCACCAGAAAGAGTCCAAGCCAGGGGTGATGATGAGGGGGTCCCTGCAACCCCCTTAAGCCAAGGATGCTACATCTTTTTCCTGGTCCCTGATCGATTACTAATGTCTCAGGGAACAGATCTCAGGACCCATGAGATCTGCTCAGTGCCCTTCCAAGAAGCAGAAATGGACAAATAGGCAAGAAGCCTGTTCACCATCTGAATTACATAAAGATAATGAGAGAGCAACCAATGGCAATAGCAGCCATATAAAATAAGGGGGCCCTAAAACCTATATTAGCTTTGAGTGTGGGCTGCAGTCATTTCTATTCAATATTAGCTATAACAAAACAAACATCCATGAAAAAGTCTCTGAGGCACATTTCATAAAACTGAAGCATGCCACTGTTTTAAGGAGTCATTTCTAGAGTTTTTTTTTTTTTCAACAAATACATTTCACAAGCAAAGTACAATACTGTACGTCACTTCTTGGGTGATTCTACAAGCTAAGAGGCAATACAGTGGATGTTTCTACTGTCTGGCCCTGGGCCCTCTGCAGCATCGGAGAGAATTCTCAGCACTGGAATAAACTGCTTGGTGAACGTGGGGTAGGGGTGTCACTGAGGAATGTGGAGGTAAAACGGGATTCTCAACTCCCCTAGAAACCTGAAGCAGATTGAGAAATACAGAGCTCATTGACAGAATGTCTTACTCTTTATTCAATAAGAAAACTTGATTTGCCCGCCTCTGGAAACAGAATCCACCCAGTACCTGTGGATGCCAAATGAAAGCCCGTGGGCTGGGTGACAATGAAGCCCAGTGTAGACCCACTGTCACCTAAGAGACCCTGCAGGGGCATCCTCCAACAGCCACTTGTTTCTAAAGAAGGCACGTGGAGCAAGGAAATTGAACCTAGTCACTTGCTTCTGACACTGAGCCAGTGCCACCTGCTCACGGCCTGTCTTCCCAGTTATGGAAACAAACTCATGGTTTTGAGTAAGAACAGTAGATATTTCCAAGGCTTCTTGGCTCGACCCTGCCTCCACCCCACTGTGTGAAGGCCTTGCCTGGCCAACAGAAGGTCTGGTCTTTGGGGGACTGAGCCCTTTTCCTATCCAATGGTGCTGTGAGAAGCCTGAGGAAGAGCCTTGGTACCCTGGAAGCAGGGGGTCTCAGGCACAGGTGTGCCTAAGAAGCACCTGCAGGGAAAGGGAAATCGCAGGCCCCTCTCCCTGACTCTTCTGATTCCTCAATCTAGGGCAGGATAGAGAAACGGTGACCACAAATATTGTCCCCACGTGAGCCTGATGCAGGGGCTCTGTGGATCAGGCTTTTGCAGTTCCAAACTCCTCTTTTGAAAAATATGCACAAGCTACTACTCTTCGACCTTCTGCCCAGGACAGTGTGCTCGGACAGCTGTCAGCCACAGAATCTGCCACCTAAGTAGCACTTGGCCTTTTAAAAAATAGAATCTTTCAAAGGGTACCCACAAGTGGTGGGCTTTTGAACTTATCTGGTGAAAGCATGCAGTTCATACAGCTCTGGTTGAAAGTTTAGAATGTGGTTCTTTTTTAAAAGCAAACTTAAACATACATTTACTTTCTTGAGAATTCAAAGCAATAGCTTTCTTCTCAGTTACTTCATTAACATTTTGGGGTTTGGGCTTGAGAATTAAGAACTTGCTGCAGTTACATGATCCTTTGGGACAAGATTAATCTTATGGGGACAGCCTGGTAAGTGATAGCATTAGCTTTTAAAAAAGGGAGGGGAGCACAGAAGGAACTTAAGGGACATCAGGTGACATCCTGGTTCTTTGAGACAAGACTCAGTCTTATCCATACTTGTGGCCTCACAGTTCCAAGCCTGCTGTCTGGCTTCAGGCAAAGACTTAATATGCATTTGTTGAGAGAATGAATGAAAAAACAAACAAATGAACAATCTACTCTATATAAAACATTGAGAATTGATTTCTAAGGTTCCTTACTCTTCTAAATTTATAAGTCAGACATCGGTGGTTGCCTTCCCAACATCCATACCCATCTTCCCTGTCCCAAGAGCACTCCAAATTTTCCAGTCATGTGGATTATCCAGGACTCATCTCCCCCTGAGTCTGATGGGTTTAGGGCAGGTAGCATGTCTCAGTTCTGACTACAGTGGTGCAGTGAGGACTGGAGACTCAGGCTAGTCAGGGCTGAGACTCAACTCTAACACTCCGCTTGGAGTGTGAAGAAAGTAGACCGCCTCTCTGCCTGCTGCTCTTAAGTCACAGTGGTAGCCCCGGTGCTGTTGGCAGCTCTCCAGCAACCACCGAGGGGCCTACTAATAGTGGAGCCTCCCAGGAAAGGAGAGCCAAGAGAAGAAGAGATGCACTCAGGGTTCTGGTAATGCCCTTTGAGTGGCTGGAACACATCATGCCTGAAGCCACTTTCTCTGAACTTTTCGTTTCTGCCAATCAATGTGGTTGAGTGGAATATTCTGTTACTTGCAACCAAGAGCATTGCAATTAGCATTAAGACTTAGAAACAGCTTCTTAAAGTGGATCATTATGATGCAGATTAATTTTCTTTTAGGAAAAATATCATGCTTGAGATTAATACTTCATAATAAGAATCCAGTAGCAGATGAGTCAAAGTTAATGGCTGACAATAGGTGACAGGTAAAAGCAAAGACGTGCTTACATACTTTTGGAATCATTTCAAATCATTAATTTTTTAAACCAAGTCCTACAACATAGTGAAAATGTATGACATCTGGTAAATATGAGAGATTTCAAAATACCAAATAATCTCCTGAGTTTAAAAAAATACATGTGATTAAGGAATGCAGCTTCCATAAATAATATGCTAATGAGTTTGACATTGATATTTAAAATGAATCTTTCAAAGGATGGTTTGTGAGCATTTTAAAGAGACAGGTTCAGTGATTCCTGAAGTTCAGAATTTATTTACCAAGAAGTTATTTAAAACAAAACATTTCATATTCTGGTAGGTGTGCTGGATTTTCAGATCAGGAAAGTGCTATAATTTTAGCATATCTGAAGATTAAAATGTATCTCATGGAGTTCTTCCAGACCCTCAGATCCCTTCCCCTATTTATCTTTCAAGACCTACAGGCAAATTTAACTGCTCCTATAAAGTCCTCTCTAATTTCAGGAGGTGGAGGGATATATATTGTTACTAAAATCCATTTGTGTTTTAAGTTGATTCGTTTACAACCATATCTCTCACTAGACTGTAAATTGGAGGAAAGTGTGGACCACATTTTGTTCATTGTTGATTCCTAATACTCATCCAGACATTCAGAAGGTGCTCACTGCCCTGTTTGCTGAAAGGCCAAATGAGTCTATGCTAATCTTGGGAATAAGATGGAGAAGCATAAACTTGGGAATAAATAACACTGTCAGATGAGTTGATAAGTGATCCAAGACCCAAACTGAAACAATTTATGGGTCAGGACAAACAAAAGAGAGATCTTTCTGGTGGTACTCTGTAGGCCTCTGGCCAATGAGGTTTTGATGCCATGGACGGCACCGCTGACAGCGAACTCCCCTCCGTTTTGGAACCCCTCGTTGCTAGGCTCCCTCAAATGAGCCTGGCTGACCATTGGTTGGGTGCTGTAGAGAGGAACTTCTTCACCATCATTAGCTTTATATTAAATAGCCCCAACCACCCCTTCTGCATATACAGTTTTATTATTCTGGAGCAAATTAAACACATAAACACACACACACACACACACACACACAACTTGGTTAGATCCAAAAACCAAACTTAAAATAAATATACTACGGTAAAATTGTTATTGTGAACATGCAATCACTAAGGACATTAGGACACAGACGTGTTTTTAAGGGCTATATGGGGTGGCCCCAGGTCTCTTAGCCAAAGGTGAAATGAAATTGAGCCAATGCCATCTTTTCGCTTCAGTAAACCTCTCCGTGGGGGCATTCACTCAACAAATATTTATTAGGTAGTTAATGCATGCAAGCCAGTGCACAAGGCCCGGTAAGTCATGGAACACCCAGCACCTCTCACACAGATATTCTGTTGATTTACTGTCAGAGCACTTCACACCCCATTAGGAAACAAACAAACAAAAACACCCAATTACTGAGTCATTAGCCCTGGCTTTTAAAATAGAAGATCAGAAAGCAGAACAGTAGGTTGAAAGGGCCCTTAGAGACCCAGCACGAGCCCCTTATTTCACAGATGGAAGAACAGACCCTTGTAATGAGGAATGAGATGCCTGTTTCTATGCTGACACAGAAAGACAGAAGACATTTGCAAAGTGAAACAAGAAAGTTGAAGGACACCAAGTATAATATAAATGCATTTTTTTACAGAGGGAAGCATCAACAAAGATGCTTTCCTGTCAGGCCTGGGTATTTGAAATACTTGGAAGACTATGCCTTCCAAACTTGGCAAGAGGTCAGCTCCTGGGAAAGAGGAGTGAACCATGGGGAGAGGGCTGGTTTGTGGATTATGGGAAATTTTTATTCTCAGCTTGAAGTATTTCTGTGATGCTTGCCTTTCACACAGCTTTGTATGGCCTTTGTAAGAACAACATAAATACATAGGCATATTGTGTGTCTGTGTATATGTGTGTGTGTGTATAATTTTAAATAGAAAGAAGAAACTGGCAGGCTGTGGTCAGGCTTGCTCCTGGCTTCCACTGTGAATGTCACTCCAAGGCTTTTTGTAAACCTTCGCCAAGTTCCTGCAGCTCCCTGAGGCTGTGGTTCCCTGCATGTGTGTGAAATGGGGGCAATGAGGGCGCCCATTGCTCAGGGCTGTGGTGAGAGTTTGACAGTTTGGGCACGTAGCTAGCACAGTGGCTGGCCCACGGCAGATCTCCTTGAGCAGTAGAAACACCAGCAACATCCATAAGTATAGCAATAATTATTTTTTACTACTGTCTAGAAGCAGGCCCTGAACAAGGACCTGTGTCCCCAGGGTCTCAGAACAGTGGGTTTCCAGCTACCACACTCCTTCCCCCTATCACCGGAGAAGTACTTAGTCAGGCAGAGGATGTTAAGAATGGAAAGCTGAATGGTGACTGATGACCGTGCAATGATCTCTGTTTCTAGGGATTCACCTTTAGTGACCAAACATTATTCTTTGCTACCTGCTAATTTGCTTGTGGTAGATGTCCTATGATCTTATGGCCATATGATATTGGCCAGGAACAGAATTCACAGAACTGAACACATTTACCCTTGCTGACCAACTGTGCAAAGGAAAAGAGAAAGAAAGAAAGAGAGACATTTAAATCAAAGGTATCTTTTAAAAAATATATATTTTTAAGCATTCCTGAAGTGGGTCGCAGGCAGCCTGCTCTCGCAGGTCCTGGCCAGGAGAGTGGGTCATTTCCTAGACCTCTGTGACCAATATGTCTCTTAGTAGAAAAACAAATACGTGGGTTTTCAGTGCTGTGAGATGGGGCTGCTTGTGTGCACTAGATCACTGGCCAGAGCTCTTCACAGGGCAGGTCTGCAAAAGACTTCTCTGGGGGTCAGGTTGTGGGGGTTCCCGCCGCAGGTACTCACGGTATGATTTCCATATTGGAGGCTGGTACTCTTCAGCATCTGGAATGAAAAGAAAGAAATCAAACTGTCAGCCTGAATGTCAAACTGTCAGCATGTGTCTTCTCTGGAGGAACAGCAGTGCTTGCATTTGGTCTCAGGGGCCCCGCACTCATTTCTCGACAGTCCAGGCATGAGGGACACAGCGTGCCCAGCACCGCTTTCTTCAGGCTGCTTAGCATGACAGAATCAATCACTTAATCATCTTCATAGAGCCCCGTAAGTCAAAAAAGATTTTTAAAGCAATTAACTTGATTGTACCCTCTAGTAATCCTTTCAAACAGTATTTACTTAACATGGCATAATAAACATATAATTTATCTCACAGCTTCCAACCAGACCTTTAGCCCATCTATTAAGACTTGAGGGCAAGAGGCAAAAGGGCGGGTATGTTAAATATTAAATCTGGGAAGTTGTGCAACTCAACCCACTCTGAAAAGATGTGGTCTGACAGCGGAGACACTGACGATTCGATTGGAATCACATTACCTCCTTGGATTTACTCCAATACAGAATGTGGGAGGTTTCCAGAAAACTTCTCTGCAGTCAGGAGTGTCAGGGTGGAAGAGTCACCATGAAATGGAGAGGACGCACATATGACCCATCGAGCGAACACACAGACGCTGGAAGGAAGCCTGCTTGTTCACTTCACTCAGCGGCCCCCGTGCTGCCAGCAGAATTTACAGTTCTCACGGAACTGTCAGAGTCCTTCCCAGCTCACAGCTGAAGCCTTGGGAGGACTCACTCCAGCTTAAACCACCAGAGGGAAAAAACTTTTCCCCCAAATCACAGACTGTTGGTCTGCAGAAACTGTAAGCACCTTTAGCTTGAAGCTCTGCTTGTGTCTTCTGGCTGGCCCACAGCCACGCCCAGGCACCCTGACGCTGCCGTTGGCCTTGTGCTACCATCCCATACTAGTTTCATGCAAAGGAACAGAACTCTTCGAACCTCATGCAGAAGAGAGTTTGAGAATTTTTCCCCTCCTGAGAAACAAATATGTTATTTATAAATTAAACCTCATTCAAAAGTGATGAATGTCCCCTCAATTACACATGTGCAGCTTAAATTAAATTCTCCCGCAATTAATATTTTGCTCTCTGGGGCCCTCTCTGTCACAGATGCAACTAAATGCTTCCAAAGGTAGTTTCTTTCAAGTAAATCTGTATTGTTAGGCTGGCACTTGTCAGAAACCTACTGAGGGAGAATCACACACACACACACACACACATACACACACAAACAGTAAGTACATTAATAAGAGTTTAGGTTGTTATCCAAACTTAGTTTGCTGAATAAAGGAAAACTCTTAATACTTGCATCAAAGTAATAGACAGTACCTTAAAATAATGAGTTTTTAAGCAATAAAATCAATTACTCTTATCCTATATTTTAGAAAAAGCAATTTTTTAAAATTCTCACCCAAAGATATATTTATTGATTTTAGGGAGAGAGAGAGACAGAGAGAAGCATCAGTGTGAGAGAAACATCGATTGGTTACATTCCGTACACGTCCCAACCAGGAATGAAGCCTTCAGCCTGGGTATGTGCCCTGCTTGGGAACTGAACCCACAGCCTATGTAGAGTCAGAAGGTCAGAAGAGATGACCTGTCACCATCCATTTCAGTCATGTCATTTTGTAAAAAACCTAGACTTTAGTTTCAACTAAAACTCTGGGTCCTCACTTTTTGACTTCCGTTTAGGCTGCCCTGCACATAGATAATCGATCACTTTCTGGGTGCTCCTGGTTGGCAATGTGACAGAGAGGTGAAGAAAACTGCCTATAGAGACTAGAGAATATAATGCTCCCTAGCTTAAAATTCTCCGCCATTCCTTTGCTTTTGGAATAAAGAACGAACATCATAGTGTGGCCTTGAAGGCCCTGTGTCATCTCGTCTCACTCCACCGCTCAACTTCATGGCAGACATTTTTCCCTTTTTCATTTATTGTCAACCACACTTCCCTTCCCTAGAACAAGACGCGCTCTTCCGAGCCCGGCCTTTTCTCTGTGGACCATTCATGTAAAAAGCTCTCCAGCAGACCTCTGTCTGGTTGACGTGCATCATCATGTAGGACTCAGCTCAAATGCCACCTCCAGGGGCTTCCCTGTCCATTTTGTGTAAAGTAGCCTTCTCCTCACCCCTGTCCCTCCCCATCACAGCACTCAGTGCCATCTGAACTTATTTACTCATTGACTTGTTATTACTGGTCTCACCCCACTGTAAGCCATTTAACTTCAATGAAGCAGGAATTTTGCCTCATTCACTGGTGCATCACCAGCCCTTAGGAGGGTACCCAGCATACACCAGACATTCACAAAGTGTATGTTAAATAAATGAACACACTTTCAGGGTTCAACCCTTACCTTTGACAACTAACTTGAAGGAAGTCACTTAGCTTCTCCAAAGAGTCTCCCAGTCCTCATCTTTATAAAACAGAAAACATAAAGTACCTGCCTCATCGCCTCTTAGGGTCATTGTGGAAATTAAGTGAGATGGTATATATAAAGTTCTTGGGACAGTAGCTTGCAACAGCAAGTTCTCAGTGAAGCCCAACAAATGTTGCCATAGCTACCTCACCCTGTCCCTGCTCTTCCCAGGTGAGCTCATGCCCTTGTCTCCTCCCCCTTCACTACAGCCAGTGACTATCTCCAACTTTGCCTCCAGATCTGGAGCCTGTAATTAAGTGCCAGTGCTGTTGTCATGGAAGGTTATTCTTTCCCATAAAGGAATCCGGAGTGAGAGGCCATTTGCCATGCTTCAGTGGAAGAACTGTAATTATCTGGGTCTTAGAGACATGCTTCCCAAACCACTGAAGTTCATGGTTAGGAGACCTTGGTCCAGTGATAAGGCACAAAGTATTTCTAATATGTTGAAACAAATCTTTAGCTGCCCCAGCACTGCCCCACCAACGTGCACATTTGCCCCAATTTCATGCAAAATTTTTCAGAATTCTAGTTTACGCTTGGACAGCTTGACGCTTTTTTTTTAAAGAAAGCTGAAATAGGTTTTTCTAGGTCATTTAGTTCACCTTCCTCATTTGACAAATGGGGGAAAGGAAACTCAGATGATTAAGCGGCTTCCTCAAGGTCAGAGGCAGAGGCGGGACTAGAGCAGGGAGCCCCGCCTTCCCAGCCTCACCCATCAGTCATCCCTGACAGGCAGGCTGCCCTAATTTACATACATTAAAATCAAGAAAAGAATATATGGCAGATTTGTTACTTCAATTCTCACGAAGCTTGAAAGAAAAAATAAAATAGAGAGGAAAGAAAAAATAAAATAGAGAGGAAAGAAAAAATTAATGGCATAGAAAATTGACATCAAATCAAATTAACTGAATCCCATCTCTGCATATACCGCCATCTAATGATTCAAGTCCAGGAGACGCAAGATGCTGGAAGTGCCAACAACACTGGTCCTGATGCTTTGGGAAACGTCACTATTTTGTTAAACACTGGAGAGATATGGGTGTAATGCAGAAAGAAGGGTGAGGAGGTAGAACAGAAGCCCTAGGTGCTGAGAAAAAAATGATTATTGAAACCAGAAGATGGTTATACATTTTTTAAAAGAAACAATGAATTATAAAGGTTAAAAAGGTTTAGAAAATATATTGCTTTAAAATGTTGACTAATATGTATCCAAACTTTCAAAAATATGTAAACTCTATGATACCATAATTCTGTTCATGGGAATTTCAACTAAGGTCTTAACAGAACATATGAGCAATGATGACTATGTGAACAAGCTGTTTGTTGCTGCTTTGTGTATAATAGTGAATCTAACAGCCACTGGAAAAGGGAGTGGTTACATAAATGATTATATACTATTACCATGGAAATGATGGTGTGGATCAGAGCTTTGTGGTCAAGGGTGTGGACTCTGGAGCTAGACTATCTGGGTTCAAAACCTAACTCTGTCACTCGCCAGCTGTGCGGCCTTAAACATGTTATCTCATCTCTCTGTGCCTCAGTTTTTTAACCTATAAAATGGGAGTAATAATACAACGCAACATACAGCATGTTGTGAAGATAGGATGGGTTAATATATATACAATACTCTGGTGTCTGACCTCCAGTAAACTGTTTGCTATTTGTGTTATCAATCTTTAACGACAGAACAATATTCATGCTACATTAAGTATCAAACAAATCAGATTGTAAAACAATTGATTAAACATAATCCCCTTTTTAAGAAAAGATAAATATTTATATACACAAAAATGATCCACGAGGCTATAAAGCCAATTATTAACAGTTGCTACACCTAACAGTGAAAATAGAAGTTCTGTTTTTTTCTTCTTTGCTCATCTGCATTTTAAATTTTTCTGTTCATGACTTCCAGCCAAGATGGATGTGTAGGTAGATATACCATGCCTCCTAACACAACCAAAACAAGGAAAACAACAAATTTAAAAACAAAAAACAACCAGAATTGACAGAAAATCGAACTGTATGGAACTCTGATAACCAAGGAGTTAAAGAGGAAACATTCATCCAGGCAGATAGGAGGGTTGGAGACAGGGAGCTGGGCAGAAAGGACTCACAGCAAAGTGGTGGCTGGAGGACCAGGGTGGGTGAGGCAGTGGCTTGCAGACTGGGCGGTCCCACGTTCGTGTGCAGATAAACTGGGAGGAACAACTAGGGAGCAAGATAGACCTGATGCCCAGGGCTCCAGCGAGGGGAAATAAAGCCTCAAAACTTCTGACTGAAAACCCCTGTGGGGGTTGAGGAGGCAGTGGGAGAAACTCCCAGCCTCACAGGAGAGTTTGTTGAAGAGACCCAAGGGGTCCTAGAATGTACACAAACCCACCCACCTGGGAATCAGCACCAGAAGGACCCAATTTGCTTGTGGGTAGCAGGGAAAGTGACTAAAATCTGGTAAAGAGTAGAGCAAGTGCCATTGTTCCCTCTTGGACCCCTCCCCCACATACAGCATCACAACATAGAGACATGGGTTGCCCCACCCTGGTGAACATGTAAGGCTTCACCCCTTACTACATAACAGGCG